GTGCCGCCTTTGTCTGCACATCCTGTCAGTGCAGGGGGGGAGGGCGCTCGGCCTCCGGCCAGACCCGCGGAGCCCGGGCGCCTTCCTGGGCCGCCCCCTTCTGGCCTCCCAGTGCTGGGCGCAGCCGCCGCCGCGGGCCCAGTGTGTTCTCAAGTTGACACCGAGTGCAACTTTTAAAATGGCCCGGGGCAGACCTGGGCGGGGGTATTCGGGTTGGGGTGCGGGGAGCCCCAGCTCCCGCCTGGGCAGCCTGTTGGCACTGCCGCCTGGGTCCCCTGAGCAGTCTGGGGTCCTCAGGCTGCAGCTTCCCAAGCAGCTGCCACCTCCCCGGGCCTCCAACTGGGAGTCAGGAGTTAGGGACCCGGGTGCCGTCCCTCCCCCGACCCCCGCGGAGCAGACCCCACCCGGTGGGCCACCCCTGCTGTGGGCGCACAGGGCCGGGGCTCCACCCGGCGGGCCTCTCTGGCCTGGTGCGTGGGGTTGGGCTTGGGTCGACGCCCCGCCTCACACTCCCCTCAAAAGTGGGGGTACCCCCCATTGGCTGCAGGAGTGCTGGCCCTATAGTAGGGTTCCGGCCCAGGAAATGGATGTTGGGCTGGGAGATGGGGGCGAGGGAGGGCTCCAAGCACCTGGAGGCTGCCCGCGGGCCAGCCCCACGGCCCCGGCCCTGGGTGCACCCCGGGGCGGGCTCCCCGCTCTTCTCCCTCCAGCTGCGTGACTGTCCCTGGAGGCTGCGCCCCTGGAGGGCTGGGGCCTCCCAGGCGTCACGTGGTGACAGACCCCCTGGCTGTCCGGCGGGGGGGGGCGGCGGTTGACCTCCTTACCGAGGGGAAGCCCGGGTCTGCCCTGGAGGCCCCCCGGGCATGACGGCAGCGAGGGGTGCCCAGGCACCCCGCCTTGCGGTCCTGCTGTGCCCTCCCTGTGGGCGCCCACCCCAGCGCAGCCCGCTCTGCCTCTAGGGGCTGGGCTCGCCCCAGCCCCTGGCTCAGGCTGCCCTGCTCAGGCGGGGACTGGCCCCGACCCCAGCTGGCCGGAGGGTCAATGCACTCAGTCAGGGGAGGTCGTCACCTTTGCCCAGGGCCCGGGGAGCGCAGGGAGGGAGGCGGAGCTCCGGCTCTCAGCCTGACACCCCAAGCCCCGGCAGGTCCCAGGCTGGCCCTCAGCACCCTTGGCCAGCGAGGGGCCCGGCCCGCATGTCCCAGGCGCCCCCCACGCTCCAGGGTGCTTGGGGCCAGCCTAAGCCCCTCCTGGTTGATAGGCCAGTGCTGATTCACACGAGACCTCTTGGGGGCCTCCAGGTGGGTCCCCAGAGGCTCAGAGCCCCCACGGGTGAGGGGGCAGTGGGTCGCCTTTGCTAGCTGTGGCCTCGGGGGTCACTCCGGGGGGCGAGGCGACCTCAGAGGAGGTATCGAGCGGGAAGTAGTCCCAGGAGGGCCTGGGTGGGGTACGGGGCCATCGGCTGAGCGCGGCTGGCAGGCCAGGGTGGTGGCAGCCGGGGTCCTGGGGGCGCATGTGGGGGAGTGGGAGCCGCCTGGCCGGCACGCCTTCCCTTGGGAGGCCTGCGCCCCAGGGGCCGCTGTCGGGGGTTCTCCGGGCCACCCTGCCTGCAGCCCCACGCGCTGCTCCCTGCCCTGTGGCAGCCGGCCCACAGCCGTGGCCAGGCCTGGCCCTGACGTCCCTGAGCCTTGGGAACAAGCCCTGGGGCCGCCCCGCCACTGTGGTCCACGGCTCATGTGGCGCGGCCTCGGGGCTCCCCGGCTGGTGACCATGTTCAGCTGGCTCCTCCTGACACCCGCCGGCCGCCAGGGGTGCCCGGCCTCCCCGCTGTTTTTAGACGGGCCTGGCGGCTTCCTGGCAGGGTCGGTCTTCCCCTGCCCTCTTGCCCTCTGGGGCCTGTGAGCAGGAGGAGGGCTGGGGAGGTGACAGAGGTCAGCCTGCCTGTGGCTCACTGCCCTCCTGGGGTCTCCGGGCCTCCGCCTGCCAGGTCCAGCGGGCACGTTCTGGCCAGGTTTCCCAGCAAGCCGAGGCCCCGGCCACCTCGGTCTGGACTGGAGACGCCACGCCCCAGCGACCCCTGCGCAAAGGGGCGTGGACTCGGCTGCCTCCGAGCCCAGAACGTGCGGGGCCTCGGGGCGGCCCCGCGGCCAGCTGTGGGGGCCTGGCGGTGGCGTGGGTGCTGCTGTGGGGGGCCCGCCTGTCCGCAGCCCGCCGGGAAGGAAGGGAGCCGCCCAGCGTGCTGGCACCTCCCGGCGACACCGTTGCTTATCCACCCCCAGGAAAGAGGAAGAGCCAACGGGCAGGGGCCCCGGGCGGAGGCGGGTGGGCGGCCTGCCGAGCACAGGCCCACCAGCTGATGCCACTGCCCGCGGCCGGCCCGCCGGCGACACTGGGGCGTCAGTCCCGGGCGGGGAAGAGGCGCTCGCCCGGCCTGCCACGGGCAGGGCGTCCCCAGGGCTGCCCGGCCTCGCTCAGGTGCTGGCAGCGGGCGCTGACGTAGCAGGCTGCGACTCCAGGCCACTGAAAGGACACCCAAGGGTGTCCCCGGCCCTGGGACCCCCCCTTGCCCTCCAGGGAGGGCCTCTGGCGTCCCCCCTCTGGGTGTCTCCCCTTAGCCAGCGGGGCTGGCAGGTGCACTCGGGCGCCGCCCCTCCCCGCCCCCCACCCCTCCAGCGCCGCCCGGCTCCGCCCACCACCCTGGGCCTTCCCCACCCCCAGTCGTCCCGGGGGCTTGTTTCGGTTTTGCTTCACTAGGTTGGTCCACCAATGAGGAAGGTCCTGCCCCTTGTCTTTCCCTTTATTGCTTTTAACACGATCGGCCCCATTGCCACACAGGCAGGAGCCTTTTGGGGCTGCGTAGTATTCCGCTGCGGCCACAGACCACGCCGCCACGCCTGTGTCGAGGCTGGCGGGTGGCCTCACCTTTCGTCCCCTGGGTGACCTCGCGGGGCTGGAGCGTGGGGCCGAGGGGAGAGCCCCCACGTCCTCCGGGCCCCTCCGTCGGCAGCCCAGCCGGGTGGGGCCCTGCGTCTGCACCCGTGGCCGGGCGCGGGGGCTGCCCTGTCCCAGCACCCCTCTGCCACGGACGGTCACGTGTCTTTTCAAATCACTCACCCATTCTGAAGACCTGAGTTTTCTTGCTGCTTTGAATGCGCTTCAGGAAGTCTGGGCCACCACAGGCCCAGCCCCCCGCGGGGGCGCCCCTGGCCAGCAGCTGCGCCCTGCTGGCCCCTCCCCCCAAGCTGTGGCCCAGCTCTGGGAGCCAGGGTGGCGCTGGCCACGCAGGGGCCTGGGCAGCCCACGCGGCCAGGTCTGGCCCAGTGTCCAAGCTGTAAGTGATGCTCCCGCTGCGGGAGACCGGGGCTGCCTGGCAGCCTGAGCCGCCACCCCGCCGCCTCTGGGACCCCAGATGGCAGCCAGCCTGTGGCCCCGCCCGGCTCCGGCGGCCAGTGGCCTCCCGGGGCCCCTCTGGAACCACAGCGCCAGCCCGGGCTGTGCAGCACCTGCTCTGGGGTGAGGCGCTGAGCCCCGGCCCGGCGGGCCCCGGCGGGGGGCGCTCAGCGCAGCCCCTGGGCGCCCCGTCCTGGTGTCAGTGGCTGGAGGGTCTCCGGGTGGCAGGGGCCTTCCTCGGGGCCAGGGTGAGCCCTGGGCACCCACACCTGGATGGCCCAGGAGGCTGCAGCCGCACCACCACCCCGGACCTTCGAACCAGGGTGGGCAGACTGCACGTCCCAGGCACACGGGCCTGGGCTGCGGGGTGCCGGGGCACTGCACCCCGCGGGCCGCCCGCCCAGGCAGCGAGCCCTGCAGGCGTGCGAGGAGCGGCCATCGGGGGCCTGCTCGGCCGGGCCCCGCCAGCAGCTCTGCAGCCTCCCCCGCAGGGGTGTACTCTCCCCCGCCCCCTTTCTCCGAACTCCCTTCACCAGCTCCCCAGGCCCGGACACCCCCAGATGGGCGCAGGTGTCCTGGGAACTCGGGCTGTCACGCCCCCCGGAGGAGGGCCCGGTGCCCCTGGGGTTTTGGGCTCAGGGTGGTGTCTGGCCAGTCAGAGGTCAGGGGCGGCGCTGCAGCGACTCGGGCTCAGGGGACGCGTGGGGAGCGGCCCTGCGGCTGCTGGCTCAGAGCCGCACCCGGCAGCCGCCCGCGGGGCTGCACCCCAGCCCGGGACCCCGTGTGGCCGCGTGGTCCCCTCGCTGGCTGCTGGCCCTGCTCACGCCGCCCTGCTCCCCCCAGTTGGCCGGAGGCGTGATCCTGGGCGTGGCCCTGTGGCTGCGCCATGACCCGAAGACCACCAACCTGCTGTACCTGGAGCTGGGGGACCGGCCCGCACCCAGCACCTTCTACGTAGGTGAGTGGCCCCGGGCGCAGGGCGGGTAGTGGCTGGGGGGCGGGACCCCTCGGGGCGACCGGCGAGGGGCCAGACTCCCTGGCTTGCCGAGTCGGGTGGGAGGTGCCCTAGCTGAGCTGGGGGGTCAGCCCGGCCCAGCACCCCCACGGCCAGCTAGAGTCCTGGGGCGCCAGCCTGCTGGGCCCGCAAGGGCCGGGCTTGCAGCCGGCAGCGTCCCGGGCTGCTGTTCAGGGGAGGCGCCCCGGACGGGCAGGGCTGGACGCCTGGGCAGTGGGAGCCGCCTCTGAGGCAGCTGGCGCGCACAGCCGGCTGTGAGATGGGGGGCAGGGCTGTGGGCACCCCGGCGACACGGCTGCCTTGTTAGGCTTCCTGTCTGCCTCCGGCTGCCGGCTCCTGGGCACAGGCCGGGTGTGGGAGTGGCACCTCCTTGACACCCTGAGCCCGGGGCTGGCCTGGAGGAGCCTGGCTGCTAAAGTGGGCCTGGCCGAGGGCCCCTGCGGGGGTCTGTGCCCTTTCGTGGCCCCGGGCTGAGGTCGGGGCGGAGACTGGCAGTGCAGTGTCCCTGGGGAGGGCCCGCTGCGTGCCGCAGGTGCCCAGCGTCCTACTGTGGTTCCGATCTGCAGGGGCAGTGTGACTCCACCCCACACAGAGCCTGGGCCCTCGGGAGCAGGGGTCAGGACTGGGTGCACCCCAAGAGGCTCGGCTCTCCGGACTCCGCCTCGCGCTGTCCGCGAAGGCCTCTCCCCATGGCCGCCGGCCCACCGCCGCGCCTCCTGCCCCTCCCCGTGTGGGTGGGCCCTCCCAGGACTGGCCCTCTGGGCTTCTTGCTGGGCCTGCCAGGAAGGCGGGGGCGCAGATGTGAGCCCTGACAAGGGCGGTTTGTCCACCCGGGGAAGGGGGGCGCGGGAGCTGGCACCCCAGGCCGGCGGCACGCTGAGGTTCTGAGCCCGGCCAGGCCAGAGGCTCTGGCGGGAGCTGGCACGGGGGAGGTTGGGGCTGGGCCGGGAGGGCCAGCTGGCCGAACATCACATGGTGACCAGAGACGGGCCGGTCGCTGGCCTCTCTTCCAGGACGGGGGTGTCGGCCCAGTGGGCGGGTGGGCAGCCTGAGCTCAGCACAGGGCGCGGGCCCTGCCCCCGCCGGCCAGGCAGACACAATGGCCCTGGCACGGAGCCCCAGAGCTGCTTCCCTCCCTATCCTGTGTAGGGGCTTGAGCTGCCTGCCAGGTTGCCATGGTGATGGGGGGAATGGGCCTGTCCTGCTTGGGGGGGGCACTGTGGGAGGTCCCCAGAGAGGCGGTCAGTATGGCCCATGGGCAGTGGGCCCTAGCTGGCAGGCTGTGGCAAGCATGGGCAGGCCAGAGGCCTCTCAGCCCCCAGCGTCCCTTCTCACTCCTCGGTGGCCCCTGGGTGATGGGCGCGGCCCCCGGTGGCAGGCAGGAGGTCTGCTGGACCCCAGGCTGAGTGCAGGCTGCTGTGCCGCTGCCCGGTGCCGTCTCTCAGTGGGGCGGGCCTCAGCCCGGGGCGGGTGTGGGAGCTGACTGCCGTCCCTCCCCGGGCAGCCGTCCCAAGCCGGGAGCCCATCTGCCCTCTGAGGGGGACGCGGAGGGCGCTGCCGGCAGGGCCAGGTAGACCCTGCAGCCCCAGGCCAGGCAGGAGAGCCCAGCCGCGGGGTCTCACCTGGGAGATGTCCAGGGAGCACCCGATCTGAGCACCGCCCCTCCCTCTGTAGACACAGAAACGGGGGAGGTGGCCCGCGGCCTGGGCAGGCCTGGCACCCCACCACTGCCCCAGGCCGGGCCGCAGAGACCCACCCTGCCTGCGCCGGGCCGAGGCGTGTGTGGGCAGGAGTTGGGGGCCCGGGAGACTCGGGGTGGGTCTGGCCTGCTGGCCTCCCGGCCTCCCTCCCGGAGGTCACTGGACCCCCTCGCGCAGGCATCTACATCCTCATCGCCGTGGGCGCCGTGATGATGTTCGTGGGCTTCCTGGGCTGCTACGGCGCCATCCAGGAGTCCCAGTGCCTGCTGGCCACGGTAGGCGGGGGCGTGGGGGGCTGGGCCAGGCGCTCGGGCAGGAGGGTCTGGAGCCTGGGGCCCCTTGGCTCCTGAGCTGCTTTTTTCGCTTAAAAACCCACAAGCCTAACGGGAAGTGGGCCCAGCACGAGGCGCTGGGCGTTCGGGCAGCTCTGCCCTGTGGGAGCCCTCTCCTGGGGAGAGGGAGACCGCCGGTGCCTTTTCCCGGAGAGCCCCTTACCCCCCGGGGCCCTCGGGAGCGTGGCCTGGCGCTGTGCGGCCGGGCACGAGTGGCCGCCAGCCGCCAGCCAGCCTGGGCCTCGGGAAGCCCTGGGCCCGCTGCGGGCCACCCGCCCTGCCTGACCCCTGCCCTCCTCCCCAGTTCTTTGCCTGCCTGGTCATCCTCTTTGCCTGCGAGGTGGCTGCTGGCATCTGGGGCTTTGTCAACAAGGACCAGGTGAGCCCGGCCTCGGCTGTCCGGCCCGGGGG